TTACAACAGAGTTTCAAAAAAACAAGTCTTATAAACTAGGAATAACTAAAAGGATAAGAAGTTTGAACTAAGTCAAACTCCTCAAGTTGCGGTGATGCACTCAGCATACTAACTTCGTCTAACACAAAACTCCTCTATTCTTTAAATTATTGTAATAGTTTCGAAACCTTTCACTCTTTTTAATAATAATAAAATTTAAAATAATGTGTGTGTGTGTGTGTGTAAAACAAAACTTGTCAGAAAAGTTTTTCAATTTTCTTGTTTCAGCAAGTGCATACATTGCATGTAAAATCAGTTTTCTAGATGTCAATTGGCAACACAATTACAAGTTGGGATTAGCTGATACTAGACTGTAGACTTATTTGTTTTTCATTAATTAGTCGTGGAAGTCTTGGCACACCAATTAGTCTTTGGTGGAAAATTCATAGGCAGGAGACCTTGAATAGTGAGTCACCAGCGTTTGTTAGGCAGAACTAGAAAATGTGTCCGCGCTTTGCTTCGGGCGTTGAATGTATTAGTCGCAACAGACACGAATAGTTTCCACACAAAGCAACTAAAAAGACGCAGTACCTAAGAATCATTGAAGTTGAAGTCAAATTTTGCTTACTATTTGTGGATAGCTATAAGAAACATTCATTTGTAAATTGTATTGTTTCATCGATATCATAGTTTTAAGTAATCAACCTACTACATAGGGGTGGGCAAACAGGTCCTGGACCCGCGTATTAAGGTGGGTTTAAGAGATTTAGGGAGGGTACGGGGCTGTTCCAAATTTTTAAAATTCAACACGGGGTGGGGCGGGGTGGGTCCAGGTTAATAGCAGGGTGGGGCAAGTCCAAATCTTGGAAGAAACGAGCCCCCAGCCTGAACCAATTTCCACCCTCAATGATCTTCGAAGACATCGTAAGAAGCTCCACCACCATCTTCTCCCTATCTGCCTTCCTCTGCTTTTAGGAACTCTACATCCTACTCTAGAGAATCCAAACCTTCATCGAAGACTCTTCAAACGAGAGATGGATCTGGCTCCTCTTCCAGACGGAATTCCTTGCCAACAGTTTCCCTAAGTTATCCTCGACCTTTCCACCTTGCTTGACAGCTTCCCCGTCAAGGAGCTCCGATTAAACGACGATGTCGAATAGGCCACATCCTGTTGGAAATGTGCCCTAAAACCAATCATATGATGATACTTTACGGACATTTCAAACTAATGTAGTTTAAATGTAAAGGGCAAAGATTATTGTTTGAGCCGTCTCATATAAATGTTATATGCTTAAACGATAAGTCCAAGGAATATGTGATTGGAAGAATGCGATCTAAAGAAGTTAGATTCATGAGACCATTCTTTCGTTGACACATCCTAAACGTTCCTGATCATAGGATTGTCAATTGGGCATTGACAGTCCGTTAAGATCAGTACGTGCTATGTCTTCTCTCAGGGAGAGTGACTAGTCTCGAGTCATTGGTGTGTGTGACATCAAGACAAGTACGTAGGTGCTCAATAGAGAATGAGTTCACTAAACACGATCAACGAAGAGTTCTCATATTCATGTCACATGAGAACTCATGGTTGGGATAATGCAAATTAGTCTTTTGACCTGAGGCATCACAGTTGTCTTGTGGTTAGGTCCTTAATCTTTGATTATGTCAAAGTCACTCCATCAGGAGGGTGTCCATGGCATCGTTGGGGTTAAGCCACTTAGCCATGGAGGCAAGTGAATGCGCAACAAGGGATCTCTAACCTTCAAACTGTTTGAGGGAGAATACTCTATGATATGATTAAGAATCTTTGGCCAAAGTATGAATGAGATTTAGGAATGTGTTCCAAATCACATTCAAGGTAATCATATAAGCACAAGACTCACATTGGATAGTAGACATGAATAAACTATCAAACCAAACAATGTGGTCAAGAGTATTGTATTAGAGAAAGACCGTATTGCATTTGTAATCCTAAAACTGAATAGGTTCTCCACCTCTTCTGATTAGCTTGGGTAACCATGACATGCTGCTAGGCGTCAACCATGGTTTGTGGAAGCCCTAAAAGTGTATTATCACTAACGGGAGAATTGAAAGTAAGTTTCAATTCACAATCGATTAGAAAGAGTTTTAATCGCCCACTGCCTCGCTAAAAGGAACCTAATGGATCGTTCACCGAGTAAGGTAGAGTTTGAAGAAACAACGGAGATGAGTAAGAATAATTAAATGGTTTAATTATTTATCTAAGGCTAGGATTAATTAATATGTTAATTAATCAAACGAATAAGTTCGTTAAAGACCTCGGGTTAGTTTTGGGCCGCAAGGCCCAATGGGATTTGAATGTCAAGCCCATTAACTCAAGTTGTATGACAACTTGAATAAACAAAGGGCTTGAAAGCCCAATAAACCTATAGGCCGGCCATGTGTAAAAGAATAGGGCTTTTGGTCCATTAGGTCACTTATTTGAAGGGACTATATAAAGGACTTTATAGCCTAAAATTTACTAAGGGTTATTTTTGGGGAAAGGATGAGAACACAAGCTCTCCTTTCTCTCTAAAATTTCGGCCACCTTGGAGGGATCATCTAGCAATCAAACTCCTCCAAGGTCACTCATTTCTTCTTCATTATGCCTTGGTGATGAATCATTAGAGGTTCTCAATTTTGGGAACTTTGGAGAAACCTTTTCATCCATCCAAATCCATGGATCTAAGATGCAAGGAATGAAGGGCCTCTCTTTGGGTGATTAGCCTTTGCTTATGCAAAGAGGAATCTACAAAGGTATTGATTTCTCAACTCACTTTGTTTTGAGTTGAGTCTTGGTTCACCTATCTACTAGGCTTTGAAGTTCATGGGTTAAGTTTTGTTTTTTAGTGCATATAAACATGATTCCGCCTTTTAATTGTTAATTGCATGTTGTTGATGTTGCTCAAATGAACTTGTTTTTCACAAATCTTCCTTCACATCCCTCATCCGCACCCAATGCTCCCGCAACACCACAAAATTGCTCGTTGATCTGAGAGACGATGTCTTCCACCTCGAGGTTTTCTCCATGCTCGACAGCCTCAGGAGCAAAATCATCCCCGACCATTTCAAGCTCTCTGGAATCTTCGCACAATTAGGGATTTACGATGGTTCATATTGCAGATAGGAGCTAAAGAGCCTCTAGGACGAGTTCCAAAACCAGAATGAGGACGAGTTTCAGTGGCAGAGGGAGTGATGAGTCAGACCATCACCTTCTGCTTCGAACATGTACGACTTCAAGTAGTTGTCGTCGATGGCCCTCAACATGGTGAGAACTCCAAGAACGCTCACACCATCCCAGTAAATCACGCGCCCCTCCACTGCTTCGATCCGGACGAGCTCGTCAAGAGAGCTAAAGAATAAGAGAACCAAAAAAAAAAAAAAAGAACCCGTGAACCAGACCCGTTTCAAAAGGGCCAGGTTAGGTCCGGTTCCTGTATTAAAATTTGTTGTACCCGACCCGCTTCTTTTAAACCCGGATCTTGTCCGATCCCTTCAAAATTAGGCCCGTGCCCAGCCCTACTACTACACGGAGGAAAACCACAGAAAAGAAAAAGTAGAAAAGTAGATGATATAATACTTGAGGATTAGGCAGGAATAGTAAGTCTGAAAAAATTGCTAAAACATCTTACAAATTCAATTGTTAAACATTATACTATAACCCAAGACAAAGATAAAGTATATAGTTTGTTTACAAATCAAAACAAAGAGCTGCTATAATCCGCAACAACTATGAATCATACAAAAGCACTGCAAATCCACCATCACACATTAGCCAAGAACTAAGGTTAAATCTAGTGCAACAACAAAGAAATACAATATAGGATCAAACAAAAGAAAGTTGTATAGTTAGATACTACATAGATACCTAAAGAACCAATCAGAATGCTCTTGAAGGCGTTCATTAACTGTCTACCCAATATACATTACAGTCACCTACGTCATAAACACTTTAAACTATCTATGAGTTGAAATAGCCAATACAACTTTTCAATTGTGAGTTGAAATTTATTACGAATTCTATGAGATATCAAGATACCTTTATAAAGTAATCTCTGGTCCTTTGAAAAAATTGGTTGTACATAGGTTTTTCTCTCATGCTGTATTGTATGAAGTCCACTCTTCTGGCTTGAAAAAAGATACAGATAGAACTGATAAAAAGTAGGAAATGAAACCTCATGGCAATTCATTAATGGCTGTCAAAAGGGGAGAGTATAGAGAAAGTCTTGGTCAATATGGTACAGTGCTTGCAAGGGATAAAAGACAAAAAATTGTAATGTCTCTAAATGCAATCGTAAAAGAGAAATTTAAGAAGAAAAACAACAAAACCTTATCCTACTAAGTGGGGAAAAGAGAAATTTAAGAACAAACAATAAAAATAATGATCACAGACTTCTCGGGGAATTAGGAGGACCAATTATCCCAACAGACAATGCCCTTTGGTCCTCCGCCTTCACCATTTCCTCCTCGTCACCTAATTCCTTATCATCCACACGCCAACACTGCCTCTAGAAGAGCCTTACCAATAACCAAGTTAATAAGCATAAGTTGAAATATTAAACGAATATCAAATGATATATATACAAAATAATGTTCCATTTTAACATGAACAACTAAGCAAAAGCATTATTACAACTAAGCATAAATTTTGAGGACAAACTTAAACTAGATGTTTTTATTGTTAACACGAATAACCATCTATATGAATACTAATTGCATACTCACTAACATATGATAAGCATGGTGTGTATAGGGTATTTATATAAAAGTATTTACATAATGTTGTACTAAACGACAGTTTGACAGAATAACATGAAAAACTTTCTTTTGATTTGGAAGGTGAAAAACTATCTAGCAACCCAAATCTGCCAAGAGATATCAATTCTCTCTCTCTCTCTCTCTATATATATATATATATATATATATATGTATATCAACTTGTCATATTTAATAAAACTAAAAGTATATATATATATGTATATCAACTTGTCATATTTAATAAAACTAAAAGTACGGACAATTCAGTGTACCTTGGTTGCACATTTGTCATATCTAGTAGCTCACATCGGCCACCCCCTACTGGAATCCAAGGCTGAGAGAAGCCTTCTGCGGGAGTTGTCATCTGAAGCACTACTCTTATCTTTGCCTTTGTCTGATCTGACATATTGCTTGTTATTGCATGGATGCCAAGTTGCTCCAACAGCCTTCGATGTACATATATCTAAAATGCGGTTTTGTCCTACTGTTAGAAGCAAATATAAGAGCCCTAATGGCTAATAGCATAAGCTCCGCTTTGATATTCTCAAGAGCTTCATAGAGAGCTCTTTTGTTTCTCTTTGGCAACCACCGGAAGGATTGCAATTAAAATTTAATCAAAATACCTCTTCGCATTCATAATAAACCCGAAAATGACTTCATAAGGTGAAATTAACCTAATTACATGTGAAAGGAAACCTTTCCAATTAAATGAATGAAATATTCGATGTGGATCGAAACCAAAATCATAACCGAAAAAAAACAAACATCGACAACGGCCCAAGTTGGTGTTTGCTCCAAAGGTCTTCCTCCTTCTCCTCCTGCCATCCTTTAATTGAAACCAAATTTACCTTACCACCAAATAATGCTATTTTTGATCTATTTCTTTCGGTATGTAAACTTAATACTAATTCTCAATAATTTTCAATCACTTTAACTGTAATTAAAATAAGTACTGAGTATACACACTCATAAACACAGAATTCAGATTTCCATTATATAAAATGAAACAAAAGCACATACGTCAAGTCAGTGTTCCTACTGTATTCTTTAATTCAACGCTGCATCAAATACAAAAATTAAATTATACCTCTAATTTATAACCTTTTGATCTCGCTTCATCTGCAGCTAAACCAAAATTTAGACAGTCCCCAATAATTTTGTCCTAAACCAGATAGCAACACCATGTAAAAATCATATTGGGTGTCTACACCCACACTTCAACAATTTACACATAAATTTAAATTTTGAATCGCCTGGCCTTCAAAAATATTTGCACACAAATTCGAAGGAAGATGAACAAACAAAAGTAAAATCATATGTACTGGGCAATTGAGACTCACCCAAAACTGCTATCGAGCTATGCTGCACGGTAGTGGTGCGCTGTGAAGAGAACTCCACGTGGTTGACAAAGTCCTAGAATAACTTGGAAATATACAGAGGTCAATTTTACAACCGAAGGAGCAATCATTTACTGAATTATAAAGAAAAATCTTCACAAAAAAAGTGTCTAGTTTCACAAATAAATGAAACCCAAATTAAATTTCTAGACAAAACTAAGAAGTTGAAAACATAAGAAAACCTCATGAATCCAACCATAAAAAAGACGCAAACTTTCGCATTGGCAAACCATTCACAATCCCAAAATGAAATCTTAAACAAAACTCACAAATCCAACTCAAAAAAGCTCAAATTCAAATCAACCAAGACAAACAAAATATCAAACACGGTTCAGTGTCTCTCTTAGCATTTTAAATTATGTGGTGTTGCCCAATATATTATTGTCTTAACATTTCATGTACTCATGCATTAGATAAAAAAAGATATAAAATGATATCCATGTTAAAATTACTTGGACTCCTTTATCATGGTTTAAGAAAGTAACCCCAAATCATAGTATCCATGATTACCTAAAACACTAAAACAAAACCCTCACTTCTCACTACATGTTTAAGATACATGAACCCATACAAACCGCTTCACCATTCACCTATACGCTTGGTGCTATAAATCCAAATTAAAAAAAACCAATAAACTGGCTACTAACCAAAGCATCCTTTGAACAAATTAAGAAATTCAAATAAAATTAAACACCAAGGAAACAATAAATACATAAAAGATATATATGCTTGAACTGTTCAGCAAATCAAGATACTAATACAAATAAAGATATGCTCTCAGTAATTCACCAAGGTGGTTGTGACAAACACAAGGCCTAGTTTCTCAATAGGGGAACTTTGGAACTCCCTTGCTTATGAAAACGATGGAAAACTCGAGTACAATCAGGATGCTCACCGTCGAGAACTTGTGGGATGGGTAGAGGGTGCTGGTGGAGATGTTACAGCATTCGATTTTACTATGAAAGGGATACTTCAAGCCGCAGTCCAAGGGGAAGTATGGCAGATGAAAGATTCGAATGGAGGGGCACCAGGAATGATTGGCTTGTCGCCAGGAAAGAGTGTAACTTTCGTAGATAGTCATGATACAGGTTCTACACAGAACATGTGGCCATTTCCATCAGATAAAGTCATGCAGGGACATGCATACATTCTTACTCATCTGGGAATCCCCTAAGATTCTAAATTTGATTTACTTTCTTCCAAGCTGGAAAGCTGGCATCTTCATAACTGCTATAATTCGTCTAGCTGAGTACAATATGAGATTTATAGTTATTGCAACAGAAATCTCTTTGGACAGAAAAGTTAACTTTGTTATCATTTAGTCAACAACTATGTTGATCTAGTGAACTTATATATGTTTTTTTCACTTATACATTTTTAAATTTTCCGTATCTGAACATATTTGTAACAGTTTTATGACCGCTTCTTTGACTGGGGCTTGAAAGAGGAGATCACTAAACTCGTTGCAATCAGATTAAGGAACGGGATCGGACCTGACGGTGCCTTGTGTATTCTAGCATCTGATGCAGATCTGTATATAGCTGCCATAGAAGAGAAAATCATAGCAAAGATTGGTCCAAGGTATGACGTTGGGAACCTTGTACCTCCAACCTACCAAATTGCAACTTCTGGAAACGATTACTCTGTGTAGGAGAAAAAAGCAGGAGCCTTGTTGGAATGAACTAATTAATTACAAATTTCTGTATTACAAGTGCATTATATGCTTAATTATTGAGGATAAAGTAAATAGTAGTCCTCAACCAAAATAGAAATCGGGGTCTTTTAAGCCCCGATTTGAGACTATAACATGCGTAGATTTTCTGGAAGCAATAATTTGGCCGAAGTCAGGACAGTGTTAATGTTGCCTGATTTGATTCAAGACCTTCTGCAATGATTCTTATCGATGGAGAATCCAGTTGAACCATCATTGCTAGCAATCTCGAATAGTATTAGAGACACCTAACTTTTGTACTAAATTTGTATGCCAAATGGTGTGTGAGTATTCATGTCCCTATCTTAGTTGTTAAAAGCAAAATGGGGTTACTAGTAGACCCCGAATCTGAATCAATGAACACGCTACCACTTTACTTGACAGCTTTCACACACGGAAGCTTGTATCTCTGAAAATACCATTCTACTTTCTCTATTCAATTGAACTTTGATGCATTCTTGCTTGAAATTTGATGCGTGAAAGCAGCAGATGCAGCAGACTGCACTTTTAACTTCACAAACCAGCACACAGAAAGCTTAACTAATGGTCCATGATCCGCGTTGAAGTAGGAACGGAACCTTAATCATCGTTTTTTAGGAAAAATAACAGTCAGGGTTACAGTTAAACAGAACAGCTGGGATTTCACTTAACAAAACAGTCGAAGTTTTTTTCACGTCTTTTGGCAAAGTAACAGTCAGCTTTCCACTTACCAAACTAGTCAAGATTTTGGAACCAAGTCAAGTCTCATCCCAATTTTTCTCCCATGATGGCTCATCATTCTTGGTCTGACTATTCTCGTTAATCTCATACCTTCGTTTCTATCCTTAACAAATCAAATCACTTGCCAAAAAAGTCAAATTTGCACCTCTTTTGAGCCAGATAACAGTCAAGCTTTCACACCCTCCATCTTGTTATATAACGTTGAAAAACAGTATTTGAACCATAACGTTCACAAAGCAATTCAAGCTCAAAGGAGACATGAACGCTCGAATCGTTTCCCTCATCTGTTTCCTACTCTCTATCCTTCTCACACCCAATTTCGCTGCTTCCCAGATCCTATTTCAGGTATATGAATACTTAAACCCTCTCTCTCCCTCTCTCTCTCTCTCTATCTCTATCTCTCTCTCTCTCTCTCTCTCTCTCTCTCTCTCAATAGGACTAACGAGTTTTCGGGTGTATGATGGTCAGGGGTTCAACTGGGAATCAAGCAGGAAAGGAGGATGGTACAACATTTTAAAGCAGTCTGTAAAAGACCTAGCTAGTTCCGGAATCACACATGTTTGGCTTCCTCCATCTTCTCAAGCTGCTTCAGATGAAGGTATTTCTATGTCCTAAACTGTAAACTCCCTTTTGAACTTTGTCATTAGTCCAAACCAGATTTTGTTTAAGGTTTTTGAGCTAGAATATGATCTCCGAACTAGTACGCAAAGTCCGGTTTTAAGTATTTACTTTCAAAAGAATAGTCTTGTACGACTCTTATATGACAATTCTTGTCCTGAAGCTTCATCTCATATATTTCCTAAGGATACATGCCGGGAAGGCTTTATGATCTCAATACAAAATATGGAAACAAAGATGAATTGAAGTCACTGGTAAGTGCGTACCGCGACAGTGGGATACAGTCTGTGGCAGATATAGTTATAAACCACAGAACTGCAGAGAAACAAGACGAGAGAGGAATTTGGTGCATCTTTGAAGGAGGAACTGATGATGATCGCCTTGATTGGGGGCCGTCTCTTATTTGCAGCGATGATACAAAATATTCTGATGGCAAGGGAAACCCTGACACTGGAGAGGACTTCGGTGGTGCTCCTGACATTGACCACAAAAACACAAGGGTTCAGAAAGAGCTCTCGGATTGGATGAATTGGTTAAAGACTGAAATCGGATTCAGTGGTTGGAGATTTGATTTTGTTAAGGGATATGCTCCTGAATATACCAAGCTGTACATGACAAACACAAGTCCAAATTTTGCGGTAGGAGAACTTTGGAATTCCCTTTCTTATGGAAGTGATGGAAAACCGAACCCAGATCAAGATGCACATCGACAAGCGCTAGTCAGATGGGTGGAGAGCGCTGGAGGAGGTGTTACAGCATTTGATTTTACAACTAAAGGGATACTTCAAGCTGCAGTCCAAGGGGAGCTTTGGAGGCTGAAGGACTCGAAGGGTGGCGCTTCGGGGATGATTGGCGTGAAGCCAGGAAATAGTGTAACTTTCATTGACAATCATGATACAGGTTCCACACAACATATGTGGCCATTTCCATCTGATAAGGTCATGCAGGGATACGCTTACATTCTCACTCATCCAGGGATCCCATCAATCGTAAGCTCGTACACTTTCATTTAACTTTGAGTAATGCTATAGGCACGCAAACCCGACATCATTGTTGACATATTCTTTTATACAGGTTGGCCCCATATACAAATGATGTAGGGCCACCTATACTAAAGAGTGTCAGCAATTGCATCAGTTTTGCGTATAGTATTATTTACGTTTTTCTCAAGCTATAACATTGCCATCCTTCTTTATAATGAATTTGTTTCCCAATCTATATAAATATGAAAGAATGTGATAATTGAGGCAGAGTCAAGCACTCACTGTTTAGCATTTGAGTTCTTGCTATTGCTCTGGTGAACTTATTTATAACTGATACCTATGGTCCAAGCTTAAAATTTGTTTATCTTACTATCTTTTGCGACAGTTTTATGATCACTACTTTGACTGGGGCTTGAAAGAGGAGATATCTAAAATCACTGCAATCAGATCGAGAAATGGGATCAAACCCCACAGTGCCTTGCGCATTCTAGCAGCTGATGCAGATGTCTATGTAGCTTCCATAGATGAGAAAATCATAGTCAAGATTGGTCCGAAGATGGATTTAGGCCAACTTATACCTACAAACTTCCAAGTTTCGACTTCTGGAAAGGATTATGCCGTGTGGGAGAGAAAGGCATGAGGGTCTGTATCATCTGGAATAAGACTACTATTGAATTAAATAAACTCTCTGTTATAGTAATGTAAAAGTTTATCATATATTTTATTTCCCAACGTTTTGTTTTTTATATTCCTCCAAGATGGAGAATAATAACCAAGAAAGTGGAGTTTTCTCCTATATATGTTTGCAGTCCATCAAAATTACAAGACCCTTCACGTTAAAAACATGACAATTAGAGTCACACTAGCAGTGGTGCCCGCACGTTGCTGCGGGATTAAAAATTATATGTACAACATATTTACAATCCTATTTACACATAATATCCTAATCAGCATTTAATTGAAATGAATAATTAGTGACTTACTCAATAAGGTCCGAGTACTTTTCACTTAGCCAAGAGTAATGGCCTGCATGAGGAAAGCTGAAGATGGTGACATCAAATTTCTTCCATTGGAGACGGGATGGATGTCCATCTAATGCACATCAACTTCATGCAACACCAAGAACTCCATCCTCGTTTGCTCTTCTAAATATGACCAACTGCTCCAATGTTTTGCCTACAAAGAACATAGAACATCAAATCGATTAATCTTGGACCACATTAAACAAATTTAAACAACCCCAAAATTTAATTTGTAGCCCAAAAAACCAAAGGATCAGTAGTCGTGACATTTGATGAGTACATATATGAAAAATGTACTTGAAGATTGAAACTTTCATCAAATAAATCACAAAAAAAGCAGAAAATTAGATAAACCCAAAATTCTAAATTGTATGAAATTAGATCATCCATTTCAGTCATGTGTAAATACACCATCACACATAACAAATTTGCCTATATGACGGTGATGCACAATGTAAATGTTCAGATTCAAACCACACACAAAGCACTTGTAGCTCCCAAGTATACCTGTATTACATTATGATGGTTGCTTGTTGACTTTGCTCCTGGAGTCATGACTAATGTGATCTCCTTCAGTGGTGCATGAGCTTTTTCCTCCAAAGTTGCTTCCTTAAACATCCCTCTTTCCTAAAAAAAAACCCCAAAATATCATATTAAGCATCAACGCTATTAATACTTATTAAAGAAATTGGTCGCAACAGGTTTCACATACATCAGTTCTAAACCTAAAAGGCTTCAGATTTGTAGGCTTTGGTTTCCTATACTTCTCCCCATGAGCATTGCTGGCAACAGAGGTGGAGTTTTCTTTCCAAATCTTATCTGCTTGATTGACCTGCATCATTGTTTAAGCGTTAACAGGCATACAAAACCGTAAGGGAGAAATGAACAAACATAAACACTATATAGATACGTTACTCTCGTATACTTTGTAGCCTTCTTCAAGGCCTGGAATTATACAACTATTTTTTCCACTAATAGCTCTTATTTACATCTTTACTGGATTTGCATCACTTCTTTTATATTAATGAAATTAGAGGATTGCACATGCTTCTTTTTGGACGCCAAAACATTTTTTTCAATTATTCTAGTTCCTTGTGGTTGAATGGGATTCTAAGCTTCAGACTTCGAAAACGGAGAGTTCGAAAAACCTCAGAGTCAGCACCAATGAGTTTAAACAGAACAGATGAGAGCTAATGGGATAGAGCTAAGCTACTTCACCACTTCCATAAGTCCACGTCTCCACCCAAGCCTAGACATCCCAACATTGCCCAGATAGGTGTCCCATCTTGACCTACAAGATTTACAGAGAAATGCAAAATTGGAAGAGGTTTAAGCATGAACAGATTGTAAAAAGTGGGTACACAAAATTGGCAAGAGACAAACTTGTTTCCTGAAACGCAGGTATGCGTGACGGCGATCAATCTCTCCATTTTTTACACAATTAAACTTGAACCTGTGCATAACCAAGGTTTGGAATCCTACTGAAATCAGGAATAGGCCATTGTAAGTTGCAATTCCTCAAACTCCTGAAAGAAACAACAAAAACACAAACATATTCAATCTTGACATGATTCGTCATGTTAAATATTAAGAGCTACTTCTCGATTGTCATTCCAAACAACCAGCACCATCACCTAATGTGATATAACATCAGATAGAAACAGGAGATGTTCCCTGCAGTGGTTGGAAATATGTGTTTCCCAACAAAAACTATGATTCCCTCTATTGTTGCTATGATAAATCACAAATCTTTTGGATTTACACCTCCGTAGTTGGAGTTTTAAATCTGATGAATGAATAAATAGAGATTGTAGTCCTTAGATCACACAATTTTACCTTTGAACTTACTAAAAGACATAGAATCAGAAGCAGCACTTACAACTTGAACAGTTTAGACATGTTGCTATACGAATCTGGAATTGTAGTCCCACCAAAGTTGTTGTTGTCAACTTGACTGCAAAACAAATAAGATTATAGGGCTAGGAAACTTGATACGGGATTGCATCCCTCAAATTATGTTGTAGAAAAAGGAAAGTCTAGAGAATTGTTCCCAACAGTACGAAAATTTAAGAAAGGAAAGGATGAAAACATAATTAAGGCACAAATTTATGTTCTGAAGTAAGAAAACATACAATATTAATAAGCTTGGCAACTCCGAGAACTCTGGCGCAAAATACCCAGATAAGTTGTTGTCAAGAAGACTGCAAAAAGGTATTGGTCTATAAGAGCAGCTCCAGCGGGAGCTTTTGCTCTGGGCACAGGCCAGTGAACAGGGCTAGAGAGCCCGACTGATTTGGTCCAGCGTGTGGTAGCCCGAGGGACAGGCCCAGCCCGGGGAGAGGCCTGGCACGAGTTGCCAGCCCGAGAGCTCGAAGTGAGTGTGACGTCAGGGCAACGTTAGCCCCTTTTTTTTATTTTTATTCTTTCAGATTCGTGGCCTTCAAGCGTGCGTGGGCGTGCGTTAAGAGACATAAATTCAGAAATGGGGCCCACGGCCCACTCAAATTTCTTACCGTTGGGGAGGCCACATGGCTTTCCCATGTCCGTTGGATTTCAACGGCTATATTTTATGGACCGTTGGATTTTCAAAAGTATCTGAGATCAACAGTCCACGTTATTAGGCTATGGAAATTTAAAAAAATAAAAAAGAAAAAACAATTTAAAATTTTGAAATGTTACGGTTGTGCCACGTGGCACAATCTGGAGTGTTGGAAATTCCAATTTTTTAATCCAACGACAGAGATTAATTAGGTGAATAAAAATTAAAAAAAAATGTAAAAAATTATTATAAATCAGAAAAAAAAAATATGAAAAAATTAAAAAAAAATTGATTTTACTTTTCTATAAATACCTTCTCATTATCTTCTACCTTACACCACAATTTCATATTTTCTCAACTAATTTCAACCACATTCCTATCTTTCTTTCAAAGTTTCAATCCAATTTTTTTTTCCATCACCAATAATTGTCTTTTCGGATTTTATGACAAGTAGGGCAACAAGAACGATTAAAAGTCTTATTTGAAATTACAAATAAAATTATTTTGTATTATTTTATAACTTTTCGGATAATAACACGTGGTGCAACGAGAACGATTAAAAATCTTATCCGAAATTACAAATAAAATTATTTTGTATTATTTTATAAATAAAAAAATACTAAAATTTTATTATCTATTGCCATGGCTATTGAAGTGCAACGGTGGAGATGCAAAAGGCGATTACTATTCATTAAAGCCAATTACTGTTCACCAGGTGGATTGAATAGTGAATAGCCTGGGGGGAGGGCTCCCACGCTAGAGTTGCTCTAATGTGATTTGTTTTCTTTTCAGTGGACATCTGATTAAAGTTAAGAGTTTTTCTTCTTTTTTCACTTCACATAGAATATAGGGGTTGATCTATGACATCTACCAAGTGATAACATATGCATGCTCTAACCCAAGAATAAAATAAGAACATACAGTGTTGTGAGCTGCAGAGCCATACTGCTGCGCAAGAGCATCTCCCATGCTCTGGTACATGTCTATTTGAGCTGCAGCAACGGTGCTATCAGGATTACACAACAATATTTATTTGAATATTAGAAAGAAATCAAACAAACAAAAGAGGAGAAATATTTGACGACCAAACAATCGTCAATTTCTTCGGCCATTAAATAAACCTTCTTCGACTGTTTAAGTTCACAATCAAAAAAAACAAACCCTTCATAGAGTTTTAGGCAACAAAAATCAAGAGGAAACCAAATAAAAAATATTGGAGATTTTTAAGAACCAATAACTCTGCAATCAAACAAAATATATTCCACAAAAAGAGTTTAGAGAGAAAAAAAGGAAGAGAGTGAAGAGGCTTACCATCCTTCAAGGCAACCAGAACTTTCAGATAAAATCACACCAAAAAAACCCACAAATTTAACAAAAATTTGAGCACAACCCAGAAATTTAAATTAAAAAAATCTACGAATGGATTTTCAACTTTCTCCTTGTGGGAATCCATTGACTTTCAGCCTCCACTTTCTTCTTCTCAGACTCTGCAAACGCAAACAGACAAAGATAAAATTCATTAGACTCAAACGTAGGCGTAGTCATTTTGGCTAGAGCGGATACACACCCCTATGTACCCGAGTTCAAACACCCTACTTGCAACCGCAGATTAGATTAGTTTAAAGCAGATCATCCCTTGTATCAAAAATAAAAATAAAAATAAAAAAACAGAAAACCATCACTAATACCATTTCTTTCTTTAATTTCGAACTTCGAAGTTTTTCAATTTGGGTTTGCTTCCTAGGAGTCTAAGACCATAAAGAACGTCAGCTATCTCAATCTCAATGTCCTCATCTTCTTCTACAGGCGTGAAGATTTTGAGGATTTCAAAATACCAATCTTGGGACCATTTGATTCCTAAAAAATATGAATTCATAAGCTAAAAAATCTCAAAACTTTCCAAAAACTTCTTCAAAAATCATTTTTCGAAAACATAGTACCAACTGACCATCGTCTTCCTCGATGAAACATTAAGAGGGAAAAAGCGACGTAGCTTTGAAGCTCAGTTGCTGAAGACTCTGTTCTTCCTCCCCAGCTCCTCGATAACTGCTAGAAGAGAAATTAAAAAAATATATATATCAAATTTAAAAACGAAATCCAAAAACAGAGCAAACAGGTTGGGTCACTCTCAAGTTTGGGTGCGAGCTTATCCCTAACCTTCTCACCAGAAAAAGAAGAACATGTAAAAATTAATTAGAGTTTTCATAAAATATACTACTTGATTACCTACTGGAAACAAATAATAAATATACAGGGAATTTTAAATTAATTCAACTGCATGCAATTTGTAAAGAAAAATAAAAAAGAACTCAAAATATTAGTAAAATTAAGAAGAAAAATTATTAACCACACAACCAAATTTAATAAAAATAAATTACTGAAATTAAAACCCAAATCCCATAAATAACCAAATTTAAGAAAAATGGAACCTTAATATGGAAATTGAAGCTTTACCTGCAGATCGGCAACAGCGGCAAGTACCTCAAGAGTGAAAGAGACAGAGCTGAAGATGCGTGAGAGAACAGAGGGTGGAGTGTCTTGCGATCCATAGCTTTGTGTAAAGCTTGAAGACCTTGTAGAAATACGTGAGGTACTCGTGCCTGAACAAATTAAAAAATTTGAAATTAAGAAATAGTTGTTTGGAAATTAGGATTTAGGATGAGAAATGGGGAGAATTTGAAGAACCTCTGCTGCAGTGGTAATAGGGGAGCTCTCTGATTTTAAAGAATCACAGGGAAGCTCTGCCCTACAACAGAAGGAAAAAGTCGGAGAAGAAAAGTGGAAGCAGTCGATGCACTACGATGATGATCGACGACGCGTGGAAAGCATGTACTGAAAAGGAACGAGAGATGGGCAACCATCAAGGACAAAACGGACTTCTTACTGTAGCAAAGTGTGAACAGTAAGGGGACCAAAGCAGAAATCAAGGGCAGTTCCGCCCTTTCACTGTTTATGAACAGTGCTTACTCTCACATGATGAACGGTCATTTTTTGCTAAGTTTTAGTATATACATAATTTCAACTTCTAAGAAATGCGAAATGTGTAACTTAGATGCTAGGGTTCTTCGGAGACATCGAATTATCTTGAATACGATCCTGTTTACAACAACAAGGACACCTGCTGATTTATTCAGCACTAATTCTCAAGTATTTCTGTGCACTGCAGAGGGTGAATGTTCTTCGAAAATGTGTTAAGTGATGTGACATCGACGTTGAAATTGATGTGAACCGAATAAAAAACATCAAACATGTTCTGAGTGCGCTTTCAATTGTTGCATATTTTAACTTGTCACAAGCATGGGTGCAAGCATGGGTTTACACCCATGAGTCCCAAGTTCAAAACTCCTCTATTCTTTTTTTGAGATGAAGTACAATATTCATTGAATAGTGAAGTAAGTACGTACAAAATCAAGGATAAGGTGCAAACAGTGGGCCTCAATAAAAACCTTGCCGAGGCTTTCAACCTGATCGAAGGGAAAAAGATTGTCATGCACCAAAATTAACTACGAATACTATCCTTCAATAATAAATTAGAAATTACATCCGGAGGTTCCTCGAACCAAGAAACTAGATGATCGAGAGCTGAACTAGGTCTTGCTAGGCAGTGAGTCACTTTATTTGTATCTCTTCGACCAAACGAAAACTACTCTATTCTTTCAATTATTATACTACTCTATTCTTTAAATTATTATAATAATTTCGAAATCTTTCATTCTCTTTACTAATAATAAAATTTATAATATATATATATATTTGTGTGTGTGTGTGTGTGTGTGTGTGTGTGTGTAAAACAAAACTTGTCAGAAAAGTTTTTCAATTTTCCTGTTTCAACAAGTGCATACATTACATGGAAAATAAATTTTCTAGGTCGCAATTGGCAACACAATTACAAGTTGGGATTAGCTGATACTAGAGTGTAGACTAATTTGTTTTTCATTAATTAAATGTGGAAGTCTTGGCACACCAATTAGTCTTTGGTGGAAAATTCATAGGCAGCGGAGACTTTGAATAGTGAGTCACCATCTTTTGTTAGGCAGAACTAGAAAATGTGCCCGCACTTTGCTACGGGTGTTGAATGTATTAGTCGCAACATACATGAATAGTTTTCACACAAAGCAACTAAAAAGACGTAGTACCAAAGAATCAATGAAGTCAAACTTTGCTTACTATATATGGATAGCTATAAGAAACATTCATTAGTTTCCACACAAAGCAACTAAAAAGACGTAGTACCAAAGAATCAATGAAGTCAAACTTTGCTTACTGTATATGGATAGCTATAAGAAACATTCATTTGTAGATCGTATTGTGTCATCAATATCTTAGTTTCAAGTAATCAGCCTACTACATGGAGGAAAAACACAGAAAAGGGAAAGTAGAAAAGTAGAAGACATAATGCTTGAACATCTGGCAGGAATAGTAAGTCTCTAAAAAAATTGCTAAACCGTCTTACAAATTCAATTGTTAAATGTTATACTGTAACCCAAGACAAAGATAAAGTATATAGTTTGTTTAGAAATCAAAATGAAGTGCTGCTATAATATATCCACAACAGCTATGAATCATACAAAAGCACTGCAAATCCACCATTACACATTAGTCAAGAACTAAGGTTAAATCTAGTGCAACATCAAAGAAATACAGTATAGGATCATACAAAAGAAAGTTGTATTGTTAGATACTACATAGATACATAAGGAACCAATCAGAATGCTCTTGAAGGCGTTCATT